CTTGTGTCTCTTTGTGGTTGTTTTGCCACCTTTAGTAGTTGTTTTGTGTCTCTTTTTAGTTCCTGTGGATCTTTTTGTGGTCATTTTGAGTCTCTTCCTGGTCGGTATGTGTCGCAGTTCAAGGGGCATTTTGCAGGTTAAGGACAGAGGGGACCCTGACCCTTCAGCCCCTGGGTCTGTGCCCAGTATGGGCCTGTTCAGTAATCCATCCATGCATCGAATGTTGAGCGTAAATGAGCTTTAACTCTGAACTTTAGTGTTATTTGTTTGATTAATTGTTCAGCTCGCAGTTATGAGAATTTAAAAGTGTCGCAGAACGTGTGTGTGTGTGTGTGTGTGTGTGTGTGTGTGTGTGTGTGTGTGCGTGCCAGTCCATGGCTCTGCTCTACTTTCAATCTAATTATCATAATTATTTGCAGTGACGATGACCGTATCACATCTGGCTGTTAAGTGAATTAAATTTAATTCAACTAAAATACTTTTTCCCCCTCTCTGCGTTCTCTAATTCTTTACCTTTATTTTCCAAATCTAAACCATTCACAGAGACAGATATTCTCTCTCTTCAACCGCACATCACATATAGTTTATTTATGTACACGACAAAGCGTAGAGGTCATTGTCTTAGCTTCTCAGTGTTCTGTGGTGGTTGTTACCTTTCACAGAGGACATGCTGTGACTGTGTTTCTGTGAATGATTCGTCACATCCTGACAGAAATATGCTTTGAACCTGTTTATCTGCTTTATGACGTTGCAAATGGACCTTAACCTATTTATTCTGACAGCAAATGGGAAAGCGCTGGATTCAGTGTATGAGACGAGCTGATCTGAGATCAACCTGGGCCAAATAAGCAGATCAAGTGAAAGCAGATAACTAGCGTCTGGCTGGACGTGTGAAGGGATCAATGCATTTCAGGACAGGAGGAGATGGAGAACTCACGGAGCTTAGTCAATATGAAAAGGATACAATGGTATTTCTCTGTCAAAAGGGGAACAGAGAAATGTAATCCTCTCTTTGGAAAGCTTTTTCAGTTATTAAAATATCAGACTCTGTCACTGGCTAAAACGAGGGGGTAAATTTTTGGGAGTGGAAAGGCCTTTAGTATTGTCTTTATTTAGACAGTGGCTTTAGTCTCTGATCAGATTACCTCCAAACTGTCCTTATGCTTTATTTAAAGACGTAATATGTAACATTTCCGCATGTCTAAAAATGACTCGGACTATGTGTACTTTCATTATCCCAAATGTTTCCAGCAATGTTCAAACCCAGAGAAATCTTAAAAGTTAATGATGCGTTTTATTTGGTCATCTCTCAGTGGTGTCGGAAAACCCTTTACCCGCTCTAGATGCTCCAAGCACAGGATCACTACATGATACGCCATAGAAAATCACACGTGACATCTTCATGTCACAGAATTTTCTCAATAATAGTGATATCGCTTTTTTTTTTTTTTTCCTCAAAAACTGCAGTTCCTCTAATGGCCACTTGAGGCTGGCTCCAAGAACAAGGCGATCCCCATACACGCCCATGTTAAAATACCAAACTTTAAGGCAGAAATAAACATGGTTACAGCTTGGTGCAAAAAAATGGTTTTGGTCTCTATAGCTAATTTCCCCATTCATGAAAACTTTCAGGGGGTGAATATTTTTATAACTCACCTGTTTAAATTGTATTAATACTTATGCATAATCAAGGGTGGGGCTGCTTGACTGACAGACTGTTTGCAGGGTGTCATCACAGTCTGAGTCAGATCCACCCCTTGCTCTTTATACAGCTCCACTCTCTTGGCCAAATATCATCACTTCTGGCTCCAAAAATCCAAGATTGCAACAGCTGAAATGCCAAACTTGATTCTTCAGTTTGACCATGTAAAATAAATAAATTAAGATTTTAGACATCCACAGGTAGCATATCAAGCTCCTCAAATTATATTCATTAACGTCATTTTTTGAAACAGTCAAAGTTGGCTACAGCCAAGGTTTGACGTTATTAACATGGTAGTTTACTGGAAAGTTCCTGGTTAATTACTGGGATAAACTGTCAGGCACCGCTTTAGATTTTCACTTTTCACACATGCACTACATTCAGGAACATTTCTGTCTACCACCTTTTCACACATGCCATGGCAATGCCAGAATAGATGAAGTAAGGGACAGTCCAGCGGAGGGTGGTAATGCAATGCTAATAGATGCCAACTACCATAATACTTAACAGAAGAAGAAGAAGAAGAAGAAGACAGGGCAAGGCCAGATGTATGTGTATGTGGCAGGAGAGGAGCTGTTTATGTCTAGTGTCAGTCTTCTTGTAATGTTTTTAATATTTAATAAGTTTGCAAGACAAGAATTGTTTTTTCCAAAGCACTGGTGTAAATGCTAAAGTGAACAAGTCATAGATTCAAATGCATCACTGGAGTCTTGTTACTGGTTCGCTCACTGCAAGTTAAAGTGTCTTCCATCAAAGGGACGTAACCCTTTACCTGCTTGTGCTTGTCCATGCAATGTTACTGCTTTTCCTTGAAATGCTACAAGGTCTTGAGGTAGTACAGATTTCCCTGAATATTGAGTGCTGCTTCCGTTCACACATGATCCCAAGCAGGAAATGTCCCTGAACATGAGGAAGGGACTTAATGATCATTGCATATTAACTGTGGTCAATGTCCAGAGAATCAGGTCCAGACATTATCCAAAGTTAATGGAAATACTCTGTAGAGTTTAGATGAAGGGTGGCGTCTGGGTACAGTGTGCAGAAAGCACGCAGATTACACTACAGTCATGTAGAAAGTTCATAATTTGGTTATAAACCATGGAGTCTCTTGTCGTTTCTTGAATTAGTCTGACAATTTTGGCTTTGGCCCCTACCGACAGCAATTCCTGAGTCTCGTCATCTCTCTAGGTAGACATTTTCATTGGTGTCTTTGTGTAAATGACCCTTCCTCTTCACCTTGGATGTTTGTCTTCTCCGGTTTAGTGCAAGCTGCGTGAGAGAAACGTCATCAACATGCCCACTTGCCCAGGGTGAATCTTCCAGACTATTACCTGTGCTATTCGAACATTGGCTCAATCAGACATTATACAGACTTTGTACGGGGTAGCAGGCAGGGTAAAGTCAATTTATTGTCCAATCCAACAGATTCGGACATGTGTGTTCTTTAATACATCTCTTCCTGGTAATGTCTAGATAATATCAGGTTTTCTGTGCATGTGTGAGAGGGGCTTCAGTGATTTTGGTATAGTGCCCACCTCAATGTTAGTGTATGAAACTTGACACATTTTAGAAACACAGAGAGAGCTCGAGTGACATTTTGGCTTTTGGAAGTGCGTTTTTTGGTGTGATGTTAAAAATGACAGAGTACATCTTTAAGGTTGCTGGCAGGTCGACGTTCAGGCGCAGGCATACAACAAGTGACCGCCATTCTAAATCAGAGCTGGTGAAAACCTCTGGACTTAATCCCTCTGACTCACAACTATGGCTGCCCTAGTTTGACAGAGGCAGTTGGATAACAGGGAGCCGGTGGTCAGTGGTAAGGCTGAAACATGTATCTCATGTCTCTGGACTTCCCCCAATACCATCATCCAATCAGAAAATCAGAGGCAAGCCAGTGACCTAGGCCTTTATACATATATTACACTTAAACACTGTTTAAAAAAGAGAAGAGCATCAGTTATGTACACATAATATGTTTACATAAAAATGTCTCTTAATATCATATATTCATTTTGAGTTTTAAGGCTTCCCACACAAAAGACAATATTGACTATTTCTTGTCACTTAACTGCTGTTTGAATGAATTCTGTGTTATTGTGAATCTGACCTTTGACATTTTCATAAGATCCCATTCAGAGAAATTTTTACAGAATCAGTTTTAATTGTAGGTACTTTTTTAATCAAAGTCCTTAAAGCTCTGTTTTTGGTCTCCACCAACTCTTGAGGAAAATGTTTGGCACTTTAGCAGCTAAATGCTCCACTATGTTCATCAGATAGCTGCTAACATTGTCTGTCTGCTGTTTACTACTGAGCAGGTGATGTACAGCCTTTGCACTGAAATTAGCTGCCGGTTGTGGTTGGAAATGATGCTAACGAGAGACATATCCTTGTACAATGGTTCATATGATATGTTATGAGTTAGTGCCCCTGTTTGTTATGATAGGTGTAGAAAAAGGATTGTGGTTGGATGATGTAACGTGACGATGTGAGATTATGTACGCACATAAAAGAACTGTTGACTTTTGTTTTCACATGGGACACAAACAGAGGTCTCCTGGGTCAAAGTCCTGTATTTGTTTGACCTGTCCATCACCCTGACTGCCTCCATACAGAAACATGTAGAGCAACAACGATACCTTCATTCAATCCTTTTTGTACCCAGATCTAGAAAAACTTCAGGATGCAAAAAGGATTAATACAATGGTTTGTAAGATATCCCATGAAAATGTACACACAACAGTTCAAATGATAGCCTGCTAATAAGCACCCCACGAAAGACGTTGTGTTCTAAAGTAAAGTTACAGAGGTTAGGTTTAGGAAAAGGGACATGATTGGGTAATATTAGGTTTAGGCAAGAAAATTTACTACTGAGTTACTACTAAAGTTACACGCTCATCTCCCCTGGAAAGTCCGTGGTTTTGTGACCCATACACTACCCCAACCTTACTCCTTACAAGTCTGCTCCCTGCAGTCGATACTTGGTGCCGACTGCCGATACCACCTGACTTCCTTCTTAGCTCCCATTACAAGAGGGAGGACAGCCTGCAGCACACATGTCACATGATCAAAGCCTCCTGGTGCTCATTTATGTGGGTTCTTGTATGCATATTTGTTTAACCCTATCTGCATATTCTTGCTACATGTATGTTTCTATTTAACCTGTGTATTAAGTGTAACATTCAAGAGGCCATGTTCATATATTTCAGAAACCTGTATGAATGAATTAGATTACTTATTCTTTCTATCCCTCTTCTGTCCCTGCTATTCCTGTCTTCACTCCCCTCTTCCTTGCCTTTAGCTGTAAGTAAATTCTAGTACAGGAGAATCAGGATGAAAAGATGGCAGCCATGCTGTTACCAACGGGTCCTGATGGCTTGCGGCGGTTCACTCGCGAATCCTTGGCTGCGCTGGAGCAGCGGATTGCGGAGGAGCAGGCCAAGAAAGCCAAGGATTGCCAGGAGGCTCACAGGAACACAGAGCCACCCAAACCCAGGGCCGACCTCGAGGCAGGCAAACAGCTGCCGCGCATCTTCGGTGACATCCCTACAGAACTTATCGGGGTGCCACTGGAAGACATTGATCCGTTTTACTACAAGAACCAGAGGGTGAGAGCTTCTGTGTCTGTGTGTTTGAAAGAGTTGGTTGAGTGGTTGTTGCAGTGCCACATTCTGCATCATTTGGAAGGAACAGGGGCCAAACAAGAAGTCACTTAGGGTGCTTTCACACCTGCTCTGTTTGGTTCAGGTCAATCAACCCAAGTTTGTTTGCCCCCTAAGTGCGGTTCATTTGGGCAGGTGTGAACACAGCAATCCCACTCAGGGACCATGAGACCTTCTTGAAGAGGTGGTCTTGGTCCGGTTACAAACAAACTCTGGTGCGGTTCGTTTGTGGTGAGAACATGTTCTGACCTCGATCCAAACCAACTGCAGTCACATGACACATTGTTTGGGTTAAACATGAGCATGTTACAGTCCTGGAGGATTATTAATGTGCACCTCCTCCTGTACTGCCTTAATATGCACATTCAGCACATCCAATGCATCAAAAATTTGTTTTCTAGTTGGAGCCGTGCCTCGTTTTCAAACTGTATGGTTTGACTAAAATGAACAATGACAGCAATATAGTCCACGATGAGCAGCGCTAAAATCAACCTGTGTAGTTGTCCCTCCATTGTGACATTAGAAAGTGTCACATTTATCTTGCTAGTGTAGCTACTCTTCTTCAATGTTTGTTTTCTTCCTGGATTTTTCCCACATGGAAATTCTGACCAATCAAGAGCAGCTTTCTCACGCAAGGCATTTTATCTGGTCCGCTTGTAAATGCTGCCGTAAGAACACAAACTCTAGGTAAAAAAGGCATTCTTACTGGGTCAGCTTAAAGGAATATTTCACCTTGTGTTATGTTGAATTTGTGACAAAAACTTTGTTTTTCTCACATGCCCCCACGGTGAACGATGCATCCAAAAATGCAGAAAAGTCCACATTTAACAACAGCAAAACTATAAATCAAAACATCCGTTTACAAACTCTCACACAACTCATGTAGTATAATCCAAGTCTTATTTATCCAGTTGTAATCTCAATACTTATAATATTACTATCTAAAACACTTCTGTATGAACAATCTCATGCATGTATGAGTAATGCACCTGCACTGTTTGGGTAGAAGTGTTTTAAATACTGCATTTTTTGCATGTGTTTGGGAAATACTGAGCATACGACAGGTTAAATGAGACTTGGATAATACTGCATGAGCTTTGTGAGAGTTTGTAAACTGATGTTTTAATATAATTTTTCTGTTGCTTAACACAAACCCCTGTTACTACAATTCATTAACAATTTTCTCCATTTTTGGATTCTTCAAGAACAAAATTTTCTTAACATATTCAACCTAAAACATGATGAGTAAATAGCCCTTTTTACACAGGATTGCACAATAGAACTACCCTGGAAATCCAGAGTTCTCACGAGAGCACAATTTGAATTTGCTCAGCGAGTCACTCTGGCAATCAGTAATGATGCTCATTACCTATGCCCATGAAACCAAGCTGCACCAATCACATCGGTGTATCTGATATAGGCGGGCCAGAGGCGAGCTAAACAGATGATAGCGTGACGACAAAGTTTGGAATCAGTCAGTAAACATTAAGATGGCTACAGATTAACACCAGTTGTTGAAACGGCTTTGGCCGCTACAATGAACGAGTTAGACTTGGCTTTTTCTCGAAAAGAGGAACAGAAGACAGCGCTCGAGTCTTTCCTTTGCAAGAAGGATATTTTTGCTGTTTTGCCGACCGGATACGGCAAGGGTCTGATCTACCAGTTAGCTCCGCTGGTAGCTAAGCGTATACGTCACCCTTTGTATTGTTCTGATTGGTCGTAGTGTTATCCAATTGCGTGCAGTGATATTTACAAATGCATGCTTGGTGCCGCCCCTCGAGTTGGGCCATTTTCATTACTCATGGCCAGACCCTAAATCTTTCTAGATTTGGGTCTGGATTTCCAGGCTACTATAGAGCCGCTGCAAAGTCCCTTCTTTATGCCACCTTTGCATTTTTACACAGAACCAAACAAAGATGGCATCATGCCGCTCCAGTGTGTGACTTTAGACAGCAAACCGACATCACGGAAACAGAAGAGGTGTAATGGGTGTGACATTTAACACAGCAGCATCAGCCTCTAGTGTGACATATAACATGTGTGTCAGCAGTGCTTTATAAACAATAAGAATGTAATAATACGGGACTAACAATTATTTACTGTCCCTGTTATATGGCAGCTGATCTCGTCCTCTGCTTGGAGGGTAAGGAGCTTCCGGACCTCATTCCTAATTTGCAGACATTTCCAACCACTGTTCATCTTCTTTGAGTTAGCCGCTAACTGCTACTTTTTAAATCTCCCGTGGTGGGTTACATACATACATGTAACACCTGTGTGTCACCAAAACGTCACACCTGTGCTGCCCATGATCCCGTCCTGGCAGCTGTCCCGTGTTATACATTTCAGCACATTTTGGCGCTGTTACTACCTCTGTTTTCAGCTCACAGGCGAGACAACTCTATCCTTCCATTTGAACTATTTATACAGAACGGCGAGGCGGCATAATGGCGTGAACTTCCTGGGGCTGTAGATAAACAATCCCTATAAGAAAGCTAGTATAAACAGGAGGAACAATTCAGCAAAAACTGTTTCCATGTTTATACCTTATGGGCACCTGACTGAGACAGACTTGAAATATTGTGAACTTATTCTTCAATACTACGACTGATTTTTCATTTCCCACCAAACAGATACAATATTTATGAGATTCTGCATCTTTAAACATTCGCTGACATGATTTCATCTCAAGAAGTGGTTTATGATGGTAAAAATGTTAACTGATGCTTAATCACTGGCACACGAGCAGTGTCAATAATGGCAATATTTTACTGATGCATGTTCCGGCATGTTACTCATGAACATGATAATGTCACTGATCCTCCTGATCAGCTGCAGGTCTGTGGTGTTTTAGAGCTGCTCGTTAGGACCAGAAGGACTGCATCTTTTGTGGACGCAGAAATAGGATTAGCAAGTTTTGATTTGCAGAGCTGCTGCTGCCCATTAATGGGCCGCTTATGGAGAGATGAAAAAGGACGTGGCAGTCATTCTCAGGGTCTCTTTGTTTTGGCATGTGATGCGCTGCTGGATGGGAGGATTATCCAAAGACGAAAAAATATTTAAATAAATGCCACATCTGTTGGGGAAAGGTTCAACCCGCTTTGGAGTTGCCTCCATTATCTCAACTGGCCGCGCTGGCTGCGTGTATGTGCACTCGCTGCTTTCTCGGAAGCAGAAGTGCTCATGGTGAAAGTTAACACAGATGGTAGACTGAGCAGTTGACTCAACACTGCAACTATATCATTATTAATCCCTGCAGAGTAAATAAAAGAGCTTTACTCTCTGCAGAGCTGAAGGAAAAGGAGCCTGCTCCTGATGTTTGGGAAATGTTTTTACATTCTGTGATTTTTCTCACTAATGATTTCTGTTTTGTTTCTGTTTTCTCTGCAGACTTTTATAGTACTTAACAAAGGGAAGGCCATCTTCAGATTCAGTGCCACATCTGCAATTTACATATTTAGTCCATTTCACTTCATCAGATCGATCGCCATCAAAATTTTAGTCCATTCATATCCTTTTTTAAGACACTGTGCCTGTGTCTCTTTCAGCTCTGGACATTTAAAATAATCATACAAATGTCTGGTGGAGTGAACCAAGTTATTTCCTGTTGGGCCATATTACGTGTCACTTGAATTTGACTGTTTAACCCTTTAAAACCTGAGCAAATTGACTTGATTTCTTTGAAAAACATGAGAAGAAATTCAGATTACAAGAAAATTAACTGAAAATTAGCAAAAAGATAGAAAAAAAAAATACAGAAAAAGGTAAAAATCCAAAACAAACAAGGAAATGACCTGAAAAATAACCAAAAAAAGGGAAAATAAAATTAAAAAAAAGTTAAAACCCATTAACAAAAAAAAAGTAAAAATGAAAGGTGGGTCACATGAATAACACGTCATCAAAATGTTACACTCGTTCCGCCCATGATCCTGTCCTGCTGCCTGTCCAATTTATACAGACATTTCAGCATGTTTTACTACTTCCGTTTCCAGCTCAGAGGCGAAGACAACTCTGTCGACCCATTTGTACCTTTTATACAGAACAGCAAGGCAGTAGAATGGCACAAACTTCCTGGGGCTGTAGATAAACATCCCTTTAAGAAGAGATTTCTTAATGGCAAGTATAAACAGGAGAAACGATTCAGCAAAAATACTGTTTTAATGTATACTGTATGGGCACCTGACTGAGACAGACTTGAGATATTGTAATCTTGATTTTTCATTTCCCGCCAAACAGATCCAACATTTATGAGTTTCTGCATCTTTAAACATTCGCTGACATGATTCCATCTCAAAAATTAAAAATAAGAGGAAATAACCTAAAAATTGGCAAAAAAAAAGGAAAAGAAAAGAAAAAAGGGTATATACCCCAGGTATTTATGAAAACATTTAAATTATCATTAACTTTATGGAAAAGCTGCTCAAAAGAAACTGTCCTCACCAGCCTATCTCTCCATTCTTGAAAGCTGCCTCCTGTGACGAGGGCTAGTTTCACCCAATAATATACCTTTGAGGACAGGTTAGCCTCCACTGGCAAGATGCCCAATATGCATAATGCTGGACCCTCAATGAAGTCTGTTTCCATTATAGTGTTAATACATTTGACAAAAGCTGACCAGAAGTCCTAAGTGCTAACGTCTTGACTTTTTTTGATACCATGAAGATTAGAATGTGAATCAAAACAAACCAGTGTGAAAAGTTCCCTCCAAAATAATAACTTTAACACTGTAAAAAGTCTCAGTTCCGCTCCTTGCATCTCATACCAGCAGATAAGCCAATTTCCAATATTTACTGATTTCCCCCCGAAGGTTCTATTGGATTTTTCCATAGTCCCATTTTTGAAACAGCTTTGTAATGGTCCTCTCTGGCATTGCAAAACAAATCCCCTCATATCCCTCTTTTAATCTCTGAAATGAAATAAGAGCAAGGAGATTTCACATCATGTGACGGCTGCCTGTTAGTTCTCAGACAGCCGATTGGTACTTTACATGCAGGAGGGGACATTTCCTCCGGCTCTCCTCTAGATGACACAACATCTATTGATCAAATTATATATTGAATAGTATCTATCAACTGAAACTGATTCTCTGCAGCTTTTTTAATAAATAAATAGATAAAAAATAATAATTAAAAAAAAAGATTTGATTTGTAATGAAATGTACATAAAATATTTTAGATTATTGAAAGAAACTTAATTTTCAAATGATTTTTCTTTACTCTGATTTTTAAAAGGATTTTGTCTTTTAAAGTTAGCCGCTAACAGATCTTTTGTTATTGTTTCATTCATTTGAAGCAAGAATGATACGACTCCCCTGCTTTATTGTTAAATGGAATTTACTTACATTTTCCATAATCTGCATTTACTGTAATGCCGTTGACACGCACATTAATGGTTTACCCTAATGGCTATATTTCATAGGATTACAGAGAAACACTGTGTGATACATTGTTGGCTTTATCACAAAAACTGTATTATTGTAAGTTTCTGTTTCACATAGTTTCCTTAACGTCCTCTCCACGTTGTTCAGCTTGTTCATAATGTTCACCATTCTGACCAACTGTTTCTTCATGGCCATGTCCGACCCGGCACCATGGACAAAGTACCTGGAGTAAGTACTCACAGTATTTACACTCAGACTTAGTGACAGATATTGAAACTGTGCTACGTCATGTGTTCTAATGTGGAGCTTTGCTGCGGTTTGTTATTTCATCAGTGATGATTGAAGAGTCAGTTGACATGTAAGTATATGGTGCATGTGATATTTACTGCAGCCACATTTGTTGAAAGACAGCATGAGGTGTGGAATGAAACAAGAAATACTGTGATGAGTATGATGTGGCCAAGTTGTCATGATCATCATTAGTGGGTCATGGTCATTTTTAGCATGCAGCATGCTGTCTGCACTGACTTAGACTTTTTATTTGTTAATTTACTTTTGCAACTTTCCACGTTACTTTATAGTAAAAGTGAAAAAAGAAACAGTTTGCTTTGTTGATGAGAGTTCGATAAGAAGATTAATACTGCTCATATGTATATGTTCAAGAAACAGTGTTTAAGATTTAGGAGGATTTAGTGGTGTCTAGCAGTGAGTATTACAGATTGCAACCAGCTGAAACTTCTCCCGGTTAGATTCCTTCAGTGTTCATTGTTCAGGGGTTTTTTACTGAGAGCCACAGAGGTCTCTTCCTCTCCAAATCAAAAGGACCAGGAGTCTCATTTATAAAACAATGCGTAGGATCCATATAAAAAATGTACGTACACACAAAAGCCAAAAATTGTGTGCACCAAAAAATATTTGACATTTTCTTCAATCAGGCTTCCACCTCACCATGTGCATCGCCAGTTTCCCTTCTCCAAAATGTTCATAAGCATGGGTCAGAGTTTGTCACATCAAGTCTGCTTTTATAGATCAACAACTTCAACAACTACAACTTCTGCTTGGGAAATGGCGTACGCCTCTTTCAGGCCTTGTTTTGTGCATACACAATATTTATAAATGAGACCCCAGGTAATTTAAACCAGTAAAAACACTGAATAAAGCAGTTTAATGTAAAATAAAAATCTGTGTTTTTCCAGCACTGCTCATTGTGGAGGGGCTGCAAACAGTGGAGGCCGACACAAAAACGCAAAATGCCCTATCTAGAGCCAGTGTTTGGTTTGTCCATTCTGGGCTACTGTAGAAACATGGCGATCTCTGTGGACAAGGACCCACTCCCTATTCCGTTGTCTGCCAATATATCCCCATAAATCCTACACACTGGAGCTTTAAATATGAAGCTACCGCTCATAGCTGATTAGCTTAGCTTAGCTTAGCTTAGCTTAGCTTAGTTTAGTTTAAAGACGGGGTAACAAAATCTGAATTCTTCTCATTACTTGCAGTTGCCAGGTAAACAACAGAGACTTTAGGTAGTTACTGCTCCCAGCTAAGATAAAATAGTGTGGCATTAAAACTCTGACTGTATGAGATCTCTCTAACAAGCTTTAGAGGTGTTAGTATGCAGATATTGTTTGGACAGAGCCAGGCTAGCAGTTGTCTTATTTCCAGTCCTTATGCTAACCTAAGCTAACCAGAGGCTGACCTTAGCTTCATGTGACAATCTTGGCTAATGTTACTGCCTTTAAGAGGCTGTGGTGCACTTTTTAAGCTAGGACAAAGGTAGTGGTATCATGTGAAACTGGACAACTTAAGGAATCAATTGGTATCAGCCATGTCATGCTAGCTTGTTGGGAAGGCGGCTAAATAAAGCTTCAAACTGAGGCTAAATTTTAGCAAAGGAAAAACTGGCATGGCCATTTTCACAGGGGTCTTCCTGACCTCCTTTATAGACATGCCCATTTTATGCCAGTCCCATGAAGTTTGGGGCTTAAAAGTGTACATTTCAAAATGTACTTTGCATGCTACATAAATTGTTCTTCCATCTATTCTCAAAATGGTGTATTTGTATGTTACTGCATACTGGGGTCCCTTAAACAGTCTAAATTGCATAAACTGTGTCTGACTGGAAAGCTGAGACTCTTGTGGACTCAAAGAGCCCAGTTTTATTAATGTATAATTATGTTAGCCCCCATTGTAGCCATTTCATTGCAGTGGGAACATTGGACATCACTGCATAAAATGACCTATAGTGACCTCTAGAATAATCACAGCCTTGTGAAACTTTACAGCCACAAACTAAAGACCTCGGGAATTCAGAGGATGTATGGCGTTCATAGGTATATTGAACACCCTTATAGTCAATATACCTATGGCGTTCATAGGTATATTGACTATAAGGGTGTTTCTAAGCAGTTTCCAAAACAGAAGTGCTCGCCATCCATTTGCTGAAAAATGCAGTTCTTCAAATTTCCAAATGTCAGAAGTTTTTGATATCAAATCACTGCATGGATTTTTCTACAGTGTTTTGCAAGGTCTTGGTGTCTTAATGTGACATTTTAGAGGGGTTGCAACAATTTTTATTAAATCTTGAGTGGAAAAAATGCTTAAATTTAGAACCAAATCTGTGTAACAAATGGCGTCAACCCAAAAATTGCTGCAACAACTCATTAGACATAATTGAGCATGTGAATGGCCATCAAAATGTTCAAATTGTATCTCAAATTAATCTTCAGGCTCCCAACTTTCAGACGCTGTATACCACTTCTGTGTGGCATGTACTGTTGACCTGTGGTCTGCTCCTAAAGATTCCCTGTATCTCACCCCAAAAGAGACAAAAATGGGTCTATGGTGGTTTTCAGGGGTTTAATGTAGACTGTAATAAGGGCTCATTATGTTATTTTAAACACTTCCAGCATGTTACTTCATATGTTGCACACAATCTGTCAGTGACATCACTCCTTTATAGATCATCAGCTGCACAATATTCATTCCTTTATTTTTCAAACTTTGCTTTTTAGTTCTTGTCACTACTGATTGTGGTTTATTTTAATGCAAACATCTGTCCTGAACTTTACCTTTTGTGCAACACTAAAATGAGAGCTAACTGTATTTTCTTCCCCCTCCGTGAATATTTTTCAGGTATACATTCACTGGCATTTACACTTTCGAGTCAGCGATAAAGATATTAGCGAGAGGATTCTGTATAATGCCATTCACCTTCTTGAGAGATCCGTGGAACTGGCTGGACTTCTCCGTCATCGTCATGGCGTAAGTAACGATTTCATTCATGTTATATTCATATCGGCAATCACCTTACATAAGCAGTGGCTACATGGTGGAGAAACATCTAATTAAAAAGGTTCATCTTAATTCAGTGTTCACAGTCAGTTTTTGTGCAGACTGTAATGGTGATGCAGATTTATTTATTTATTTATTTATTTATTTTTAAAAAAGCATTTTGTTAAAGTGACTGACCGTAGTGAGTCCTGAGTGGTGACTTGAAACGCCATGAATGATAAGCCTATTGTAGAGGTCATAGATCTGTGTGCAGTGGCTCACAAACCATGATGCAGGTGGCAGATTAGACAGGTGACCTCCCGATGCAGCATTGTCCGAGACCAATCATCCTGATAGGACATTTGCTTTGTTTGAAAACAGCGAGACAAAATCCCTTTTACTGCGTGTAGACACACTGAAAGCTGTCATCACCTTCAGCCATTAATTTGGTTTTGATTAATTATGGTTCAGTCAGCTAATTCATCTGTCATTTCCTCTCACAACACATGTCCTGTTGTTTTAACTTATAGCTATAATTAGTGTTTTTAGATATATACAGTGGATCACATGACTACTTGTCAGTGAAAGGAGTTGGTTGTAGTGATTAACCCCCAGAGAGTAATCACCCGACTGCAGCTTCACTCAGCTTTAAGGAGCGTTTTAGAGTCCTTGTTCTTTTGGTTTTACCGTAAATTTACTCATAGCGTTGATTTTGGGTGATTTCAGCCTTAACAGTATGGCTGTGTGTTGGCAAGAATCTGGTGATATGATGAATATCAGGATGCAGGAATTACGATCATAGACTGTATAAATGATGGACGTAGTGTCCGCAATGTCATTGTCACCCATTGGTTTGTGGACTTCCATTTTGAAGCCTCAAGTTCCACATTTCAGCTGTCGTCACTGTGGTTTTTTGGAGCCAGCAGTGATCATATTTGGATGAGAGGGTGGAGCAAGTGAGGGGTGGATGTGACTCATAGACTGTGGTGACACTTCGCAGACAGCCTGTCACTCAAGTGGCAGTGCCTTTTAAATATGTGTAACTTTGGGCATGGCATGTTTTATTCAAATTTGAACACTGTTGAACTCTTAGCGCTCAGCAATATGTTGCTGGCGTTTGTAGCGTTACAATATAAACGGCACTCCCATTTCAAAGAATACATTAGCCTCAGGAAAAAATACTTTGGTGGACATGACCCCTAAAGGATGCATGAATGAACCAAGATGCTATGCCAATGAAAAGACAAACGCACATGTGATTTGATTAAAATACATTTCTAAAGACATGACATACAAACTGTTAAGTATGTCTGAAGATTAATTATTAACCCCAGTGATCTGTATGATCACCAGGGTTAGGCTAATACTTTGCTTAAACCACTTGCAGAGGTTCATAACTCTCCTTGTATCAAATTGCAGATATGTGACAGAATTCGTAGACCTTGGAAACGTCTCAGCATTAAGAACCTTCAGAGTACTACGAGCACTGAAAACCATCTCAGTTATCCCGGGTAAGTCACCCATCAACCATCAGGTCAAACCTCAGATATCTGTGTCAGAATCTGCTTTTCCCACATCAACGGAAAACACGTGTTGATATATTGTCTCCTCTCCTCCATCAAGGTCTGAAGACCATCGTCGGCGCGTTGATCCAGTCTGTGAGGAAGCTGGCAGACGTGATGATCCTGACCGTCTTCTGTCTCAGTGTGTTCGCCCTCATCGGCCTGCAGCTCTTCATGGGGCTGCTGCGACAAAAGTGCATCCGCAGCCTCACGCACTGCATCAACTCCTCCTACAGCTCCAACGCGTCCTTCATCTGCAACAACAGAACCTGGAGCTCCAGGGCGGACTTCCTCAGCAGCGAAGGTCAGCCAAACAACGCAAGTGACTGGTGTTGAGAAAACATTTCACACATACACAATGCTCTGAGAAAAGATACTTCTTAAACTTGTTTTTTTTTTCTTTTCCTTAGATAATTTTTACAAAGTTGAAGGAGCAAAGGATGCCTTAATATGTGGATACGGAAGTGATGCAGGGTAAGTGAGTGTTTGCCCTGATTACTGCTTGTTAATCATCTGCAGGCTGTTACATAACATCAAAATATTTAGTGTCTAATGGCTTTTGATCCCATGCATGTCATGCGTATAATTGGATACAGTAGCTCGAAGCTCGGCGCAAAGAGTTTTCACAGATCGAGAAAAAACAGACGGGACAATAGACAACGTGCTTTAGGCTTCATATTCAAATCTATGACTTATAGGCATAATGTATGGAGGAATGATCCCATCAGAGGGAGGGGTGTAGCGTGAGAGGGGCTGTACACAAGACGACATGTGGTGTGGATAATCACCCCGGCTCCACTGGAACCCTTTACAGAGAAACACAGAGTTGCCAGCTGGAGAGAGAGGGGGGGGGGGTCTTTGGAGATTTCATCATCTCAAAAGCTCTATGACATGATTAGTTCAACCTGAGCGGCCCGGATCACTTCGGATTGATATTGTTAAGGGGAGATACTGTACTGAAGTCCTCAAGGAGCATCTGCTTTTGTGTCTCTGTGGAAAGCATCTTTGATTTAATTTCTAATGTCGATATAAATGCGTAGATGACATTTTATCTGCCGACTTTGTTCCCAATCAAAGGCGCAGTGTGAAACCATCCAAATATTGCTACTCAGCCTACGCACTGAATAATCCTATAAATCCAAATGCTTTTGAAACAAGCACAACAGGATGACTCTGCCCATGCCAGGCCCAGTTCAAGGGTTATAGTGAACTAAATACCCATCTGTGTGAATCTGAAATCCTGCAGCCTCGACAAATGGCTTCCATTAGGTGCTCTTGTTAATGATACAAGATAATGGATGATAGCAAATAACAAAAACTGGGGATGATATTAAGCTTCAACAGTGAAGTGCTTCTGTACTGAAACTTTCTATATCTTGATACAGTTATGGTACCCTTAAAATAATTAATTATACACCCATTTTAGTTAGTTGGTTATTTAATTGACACAAACTAATACCAGTACTGCAAGACGTGCATGTAGCAGGACAAAAATTCTTCTATCAGTGTCCATGAAGAGTGAGCTCAGTTCAGTGGAGTCACGTCTCAGTGATATCCTGTGTTAGAGGGCACACATTTCTTCATTTTGTATACCAGTCTTACAGCAACACACATATTGATCGGGGGGTGTACGGCTCCACCTCCCCATTTCCATTCACAGTCTCTGAGAAGACAATTGGAACAGTGTAAAAGTTATTGTCAGATGGTCTTCAGTGTAGGGTGTATTGCTGGTGAAAAGTTTGTGGACAGATCAGGGTTGATGGTTTGGTAGGTCTTGTGTCTTGTTCCGTCTTTAGATCTTAATTTTTCAATTATCTTTCTACGGTCACTCAATATGATCTTGTTCCTCCATTATCTCAGACAAGTATGAGTTCATGACTTGATTCTCTTTTCTCCTCATTTCTAGAACATGCCACAGGGTTCACCCTTGAGGTTCTTGAAAAATACAGAAAAACTGTTTCCATTTGGACAAATAATTATAATAATAACTTTATTTTTTTGATTAGGCAAAAATATTTAGGTAATTTACTGCAAGCAATCAAAATATTATAGATAAACACACAGATATAGGCACATTGATATAAATATGTTGATTGAATGCAACAACTTTGATGGCTGATTTATTGTTAAAATCATTTTTCAAGCAAAAATGTTCAACGTTCACTTGTTCCAGTTTCTCCAGTTTAGTGTTAAAGGGTAACTTTTGTGTGTGGGGGTTGTTTTTTTTTACCTCTATGTTCCACATTTTTCTGTCTAATAAGACTTTGTGAAATCGTTCCAGTGTTGAGCAAGACTGCTGCAGCCAGCAGTGGCAAAACATGCTGCAATGTAACATTAATGGGCAACAGTGCACCATCAATTTATGTCCAATAAAAGTGTTTGTTTTTGCCACTGACAGGCTCAGGTTGTTACTCCAAGTGTCTGACAACATTATGGAAAGGATCCCTTCAGAGATAGACATTTTGGTAAAGATAGACCCTTTTTGTTTAACCAGAAACAGTCCCTAAATTGCAATTGTGAATCCACCAGACTCACCAGATTTTAGCGTGTATAGAGGCAGCATATTTTCACATCTAACTGGGTGAATTAAGGGTTTGTTTCAAACAAACCAAGTTGGCGAGTGTTGAAACAGTGGTAAGATGAACCACGATGGCTTTTGTGAGTTTTATTTTGTTACTGTTGACTTTTAATAAAGTGTGTTTAATGATGATAAAATTACTTATTATTTTAATGGAATCTGGTATGTTTGATGATGGCAATTTTGAGACTGTTTCTGGTTAAACAAAAAGGATCTTACACTTAAACTGTAGGGATCCTTTCCATAATGTTGTCAGACATTTCAAACAATAATCTGAGCCTATCAGTGACAAAAACATCACCTTTTAGTGGATATTTACGGTGTGCAGATGGCCTGAGTTGTCACATTGCAGCCTGTTTTGCTGCTACTAGCTGCAGCCCTCTTGCTCAATACTGGACCAATTTCAAAGACACATAAACATAAGAACATATGATCAGCATTGAAAAATAACCAGCTTCCCTTTAACTGATAACTGACATGTTCGTGCATCATTTGATGCTCATACTCAAGAGACTGAGATGGTTAAAGTGCAAAATAGAAAGTCTGAATAAAAATGACTTCTCCCAGCCCAGTTTTATTTGTACTGCACATTTTGGCAACAAGTCAAAGTGCCTCACATTAAACAGACAAAAGAACATTTAAATACAATTAAAAATGCCATTAAAGAGCCAAGAGAATGGAATGGAGTCAGCAGCAAACAGAAAAGTCTTCAGCCTTGGTTTAAAAGAACGTAGAGTTGTAGACTTTCACAGCGCCGTAGCTCTGCTCTCCACCAATATGCAGGTCAAAGAAAATTATAAAAGATAGTCTCTTCTGTTCAAATGTATTATTTGCTTTTCATGATGAGACCCTGGACTCCTTTTAATGAGAGATTTAATGTGTGTATAAGACTTTTTTTGCATGAAGCTAATATTGATATTAATACAATATTTTAGACAAAGTATAGACACAATGTAGTTACACATTTTTTATTGGCATCAGCGTTCAGCCGACCCTTTAGCTTTAATCTCACTCTGTAACCTCTCCTCCAAAAACACAGGAGCTTAGTCTCCCAAGAAGTAAAATCTGATTCAGTAATTTGTGATCAAGTCAGAGCGAAAAGAGGATACATTTGAGGGCATTCGGAGGGAAATGACATCATTAAACTCCTATAAATAGTAGGTCAGTAAGATCAGACTAGCACCAATATGATCTGTCCAGCTGTCCCAGAGTTTACCTACAAGTAACGGCGATTGGACTGTTTTTAGATTTGTTGTTGGTGTTCCTGCCATTTGTGGAGCTCTAATGGTGCACTACTGACACCCGGACTCGGTTTTAATCTTTTTTCTGTGTCTAATGGGAGTGTTAATGGCTCTTAAGACAATAAAAGAAACAGGAGCATTAGTCGTTTTGTTTTATTCTTTAAAGTTTTTGCTGCGTCAGCACCAAGAATGTGGTGTTTGTTGCATTTGTCGTGTCTTCGCAGCTTGATTTTAAATTAAAAACAGAATGACCCAGGCCCACGACACTCGTGACACGTTATAAGTTAAAGTTACCGTGTCTGTGTTGGCAAAATCATCGGCAGCCTTTTGCCTCGTGTGACATTTTAGATGGAACTTTCTGAGGCTGCCTGTGGAGACGGGCAAGATATTAAGCAGGTCAGGATGGAGGACGTAAAACATAGAGGATGCTTAATCTTTTGAGTGTATTCCAACAAGTAATCCCTGAGTAGATTTCCAAATTAAAGCTTTGGATACGTTATGATGACACACACACACACACACGCACACACACAGACACACACACACATATGCACACACACACACAAGCAGGCAGGCATGCACACACACACACACACACACACACACATATTCAACTGATATTTTCAGCCGAGATGGTTAACAAGTTTGTGATAAATGATTTGCTGTTTCTCATCGCGGCGCCCACTGTAGCGTTCAGGCAAACGCTTATCCCCTCACATCTTCAAGCCACTGTGCATCAAGGATTATGACTTTCGCCCTTGACCGGGCTCATGTGGGCATGGAAACCCACCGCCTCAGCCCCGCCCACCGTAGAGGGAAAACACTTTGCACCGATTGACAGATGTTCCTCTGCTGCTCTGTCACACCAACTGCATGACACTGACGGTTCACTCATAAATAATGCAAACATGTTAGCAGAGCTGTCACAGAGCACTAACACACACTGGACTCTGTCGCTTTGGTGACATGAGATGACTCTTAGACCTTTATGAAAGTTTAAAGGACCATACCATAGTATTTCACAAGGGTTTGCTCCTTCACTACAGCAGTGAGGACTGTGGATTTCTATCAGGTGAAACTTCTCCCGGTTAGAATTTCTCAGTGGTCATTGTTCAGGAGGTTTTCACCAGGGGCTGAATTATCCACAGAGGTCTCTTCTTCTCCAAAACAAATGGATCAGGTGATTTAAACACTGAATTATCCAGTTTCATGAAGGATATATCCAGGATGTCAAACTGACTCAGCAGCAACAACAGGTTAAAAAGACAAAGACAGTTAGAAGCTAAAGCCGAACTATAGGCTACAGATCACAGTGTAAAAGTGAACCACCACATCACTGCTGATCGCCACAGAAGACAATGAATATAAAGGGAAACTTTGCTGATACTGAACCAGCTGTGTGGCATCGCAGTGTGTGCAGATGAACGGTGTTTGGCTTCACCCCCATGCCGCTGCCAGCACCTGGACCTCTGCTGCCGGACAGGCAGGGCTCTCCAGGGGAAGTCAAACAGCTTTCATCTGCACACACTGCGATGACACACAGCTGGTTGAATATCAGCAAAGTTTCCCTGCTTCCCTTCACTGGTTCCTGTACAGCAGGGTCGGTCTTTGTTTCACTGTTATAATCATTAAAAAGCAAAAGCAGCATGTGTATACATTCAGTAGGCTATATCTTCAGTAGCTAGCTAGCTAACCCTACACTTTTCAGGGATTGATTTTAGTTTTGGAACAGGGAAGAAACGTATATCTTTTTCCAACCTCTCCAGGTAACGAGTATCATTAATACACGACGTGCCCCAGACATTACATTTAGCTTGATGCTACGTTATGATTGGCCAGTCTGTGTCCCAGGGCGGGACTTAGTGAAGGGTCAATTATCCACAGAGGTCTCTTCCTCTCCATAACAAATGAACCACAGTTTGCCATGATGACACACACCATACCAGCCCTGCTGTTGCAGCTCTTAACAACACATCCACAAATCTGGAAACTAAAAAACTGCCTAAATCAAAGCTCTGAAATCTAATTAATACCTCTCACCCCTGAGTAATACACTGTAGGATGTCCAGCCTCTTCCTAATGAGTACAAAATAATACACAGAAAAAGAAGAACACTGGCATGACTACATGTTGTGCCCTCCCCTGAGCAAACCACCGTCAGTGCCTCATGCTGGCTGTGGATGTAATCTGCGAGGAGGCAGATCAGCTCCCACAGCGAGGGCATGTGTGTAGCAGCCCTCCTTAACTCTGGATAAACCCATGCAAGAGCAGTCTCTAGGGCAGTTACTATAGAAACCTCAGGGGCATTAGCCTGACGAGCGCCTTGTTTTTACATCAGTATCTAATTACAAGAGAACTCTCACATTCATATAGTTGTTCGAGTGACCGTAGTATGAGAAAGAAGATGAGCAACCACAGCATTAGATGTAGTAGTCTGTTTGTGTGCATTGCGTGTAAGGCAGTCAAACTTAAGCAATGAACCTTCACTTAGTATTAAAAGTTCTTGACATTCAACAGCTGCTCAGACCAGTTTTTATTCAGAAAATTAAAGATTAACTGTAGTATTTCTCAACCTGGACCCAATTTCCTGAGTGACAAATGGGAACAGTTGTTTTTGAAACTGGGTGGCGGGTGGTTGTTGGACCCATCCACCACCCCTTCCGCCAACCCTACTCGGACTTCTGTCGCCTTAACTTTTGTTCTTGTCCCGCCACATTTCCCTCTGACGCTGCCAGGCACTGTTAAACAATAACAGTGCCCGGCTGCATATTATGCCGACATGAAAGGACGGCTATATTCGTCTGTGTCTGACGCCAGAAGTCACTGACTAAGCGTTGGATTTCAACGACTTCGGAGTGAGACTGGGTTGCTTTGGCATGTATAGAGCTAGCATACTTTCACATCTAACTGGGTGAATTAAAAGATAATTTCTACTAGGGCTGTCAAGCAATTAAAAAAAATAATCTATTGAATTACATGCTCTGTGGTTAATTAATCTAAATTAATTGCAAACATCAATTTTTGCAGTATTTTTAAAAAAAAATTCAATTCAAATTAATTTTGGCAGCTGTGTCACAGCAAAGCTGCTGGCCTTCAATGACGCACCGGGTAAAAGGGCACAGCATAACGCGATTTATCAGTGTTAATTTTTTTAACACGTTATTTTTTGCTGTTACTAATTAATCAAAATTAACGCGTTATTTTGACAGCCCTAATTTCTACCAAATCTGGTGGGTTTTGATGATAGCAATTTCTGGGCTGTTTTTGGTGCAACAAAATAATCTTACACTGAACAAGAAGGTCTATCTCTGTAGGAATCCTTTCCATAATGTTTTCTGACACTTTGAAACTTAGAATAACAATCTGAGTAAAAACAAGCACAAACAGTGGACGTAAATGGTGTGCAAATGGTGTGCAAATGCCCCTGAGTGGTTACATTGCAGCCTGTTTTCCTGCTACTGGCTGCAGTGCTCTCGCTCAGTATTGGACCAGTTTTAAAAACTGTTGTTCCCATTAGTCACTTAGACATAAAACATGGGAAAATAGGGTCCAGGTTAAAAAGATATACCAAAGTTATCCTTTAAAGTGGACATGACATTTTGCACAAATGGTAGATTAGTGATTAGAATAGGATGTGCTGAACAAGAGCACGTCACTTGGTATTAACTTGAATATTTGAAGTATTTTGACTGTACTCTTTTCCCCACACTTTATTGGCCTTTTTGAGTAGCTTTTATTTTGGATTTATCTATTTATTAATTGAATAATTTTACTGCACTGTGAACTTCTTTTAGACATGAAACAGTATTTCATTTATGTTTCACAATAAAAATGCTTTGACATTTATTTTCAATTAGAAATATATATTTTTTCCTTTTATTTCTTATAGAACGATTCATACTTTCCATGCAGCCATTGTTCTCCATTAATTAGATTATAGTATGGAAATTAATAGAGTTGCAGTTTTCATTACCAACTAATCTGCAGATTATTTCCAGACTCACACGGTTTAAAACGTATCTATAACATAGAAAATGGCAACAGACTACTGACCAATTGTTGACCGACCATCAGTCCTTAACCTTAGAATTTCCAAATTTACAGAGAAGAAAAGCAGCACAATGTTTGGCCTTTTTGCTCGAAAGGTAACTGAAATAATTCACCTGTTGTAAAAATAGTTTCTCATTAATATTTCTCAATTAATCTACTCATCATTTCAGCTCTACACATAAAACATTCAGAGACTTAAACCTTGGTTAGATGAATCATCCAACAAAGTGAACATATCATTCATTCTTTTATGTTAAAGGCTGACAAAGTGTCCTTGAATACATCATTTTTTTCTAATTATTATTCCTGTTTATCTGTACCATGTGTTACACTTTGAAAAGTGGTCGACTGCGATAAAACAACAGGGTACAGTTGAAATATGTCAAACCAAAATTGAGTGAAAGAGGCGCACAGATTGGTGGCAGGTTGAGCAGTGCGGCAGAGGGAAGGAACAGCCTGACAGGAAGATGTCGCTGGCCTCACGCAGCCTCCTCTGTCCTCACTGCTGGATATTAGTGAGCATTCCTGCTTAGCTGGCTGGTTGGTGACATCTACAGCTGTTGTCGCCCAGCTGTTTCCCAGCCATTACGAAATTATTCTGCACTCAGATTGACGTGGCAGTCCAGCTTGTTCTCAGCTGCCGGACTTAAATATTTGCTGTAATGTCACTATGCTGACAATGAAGATCAGAGATGGAGGGAGGCAGGGAGCTGGAAAAAATTTTTGAACTGCAATTTGATATCCATCTGGCTCAGCATAATCCCTTTTGCTGCAGTGCATTTTAGTGCTCCTCATGCCTGGAGCGAATTTCAAGTGCCCTGTTGAGTTGAAATAATGGTGTTGATAGCAGTGTATGTACTTACTGACTCATCCGCTTCTCTCCCCTGTGGAGTCAAAGGCCACGAGGCTACATGTAGATACTGGAGATGTTTTTAGCTCTGGTAAAGCAGGCCGCACGCTATCTGCCCCATGCTGCCATTGATTTAAATGTGCAAGCCTTTCTGTTATTATCAGTGTTGTCCCATAATCATCTGTCTTCATCCTTTCAACTGTTTGTTTTCCAGGAAGTGTCCAGATGGATTTGACTGCCTAAAAGTAGGGAGGAATCCAAACTATGGCTACACCAGTTTTGATACCTTCGGCTGGGCTTTTCTGGCCCTCTTCAGACTCATGACACAAGACTACTGGGAGAAACTGTTTCACCAGGTGCAGATTTTTTTTTTAATTTCCCAATATTCTGTGATGATATGCTGTGATTTTGAAATTTCTATAGACCCACAAATACAGTTTTACTCAATCAAATGTCAAATGATAATATTTAAAGGAACTCTCTTTTTGTTTACAACCTGTTTTCTTAGACTGGCCACAGTTTCTGTTGGTTATGATCAGTTTTTGGGCAGGAAGGCGTTACTAGTAACGTTATTACTGTACGTAGTAGTAATGTGTTAATTTATGTAATAATGTTACTCATCCTGTTGGGGGTCACAGGGGGGCTGGAGCCTATCCCAGCTGACACTGGGCGAGAGGCAGGGTGCACCCTGGACAGGTTGTCAGACTTTCACAGGGCTGACACATAAGTCCCGTTTCCACCAAACACTTTCAGTATGGTACCTTTGGAATCAAACATAACCCCTCAGACATGGTACCTAGACCCTAGTGTTTCCACTGCAAACCATACCCTTAAATGTGGGCGGGGTTGTTGTCACTCACTGCTCCGTCCAGCACTTGCTGTACTTCCTCCTTTATCAGTCTGCACCTCATTTATCGTCCCCAGAACAAGGTTGCACAGAACAAAATAAAACAGGCTGCAGTGAGTCTCTCTCCATGGGATATTTAAAAATAGCAGGTTTGTGCATTTAGTCCTTCTGAAGTAAGCTCAGAGGTTAAGTGTTGCCGTAGCTCACAGGAACTACACTCAGTGATGCTGTTTTTTTCTCTGAGGGAGGATTATAATAAATGCAGTTCACGTAATGCGGTCAAGATTAACATATATTTTTCAACGTTTGAAGATCCACTCATTACTAAAAGTGTATGTCATCCAAGAGAGACAATAAAACTAAAGTGATAGTCAAAGTTGTCACAGTGAAATTTAAGGTGTGCTGATGGATTCATCTTGTCACCTCATGCACTGAGTAACATTACAAGTTAACATTCCACCTTAAAAATCACCAGCAGTCGGCCCAGGGAATGAAGTTAGTTTTTTCTCAAACTCCAGCTGCTGCAGCAAAGCATCCTTTCATTTTATAGTTACAGTTTATTATATGTAAAACTCTCCACAGTATGAATTGTGGTTACATGAGCCATTCGCTACTGGCCAATCAACAGACTGCAGTGTTCAAAGCTCCATCTTTAGTACCAGATCTGGGTGCCCTGTACCCCAACAGAGGGGGTAACAAAAATGGGGACGGTACGGAATGGTTCCATTGGTATCATCCACAACTTTTTACAGTGGAAACGGGGAAAAAAGCGTATCTAACTGAACTGCTCAATGGTGACAGGGCTTTAGAGACAGAACCATTCACGCTCATATTCACACCTACGGCCAATTTAGAGTCACCAATTAACCTGACCCCGCCTCTCAGCCAGTGTCAGCTGAGATACACTCCAGCCCTCAAGTGGTTACGGAAAATGAATGAATGCATGTCTTTGGACTGTGGGAGGAAGCCATAGTAACCCACACTGACGCAGACAGAACATGCAAACTTGACACAGAAGGGCTCTCCCAGTCTGGGGTTCAAATCTCCCATCACCGGGTTTGAACCAGGAACCTTCTTGTTGATGGTGCTAACCACTAAAAACCACTAAAAAACAATCTGAATACAGACAGGAAGGTTTTTGTTGCCACTCGAAAAAGTATTTCCAATGTTTTTAAATACACAATGTCTGGAAATTTTAAGGTGTTGGACACTATAAACAATTGATTAGTGTCCTATTTAGCTGTAAAATGAGAACATTTGAGTCAAATGTTGTCCATAAGCGTACATTATGCCAATGTACAAAAACACGACTCTTAAACATGTGAATGACTGATTTCATATCTGCTCCCTCAGACGCTGCGCTCAGCAGGGAAGACCTACATGGTTTTCTTTGTGCTGGTAATCTTCCTAGGCTCATTCTACCTGGTCAACCTCATCCTGGCTGTGGTGGCCATGGCCTACGAGGAGCAGAATCAGGCGACCATCGCTGAGGCCTGGCAGAAGGAGAGGGAGTTTCAGCTGGCTATGGAGCACCTTCGCAGAGAGCAAAGAGTGGGTGCAACGTAGATTTTCATATTTTTAATTGAAGTCAAGCAAAAAATTGTCTCCTGTAACATCATTTCTTTTTTGTGTGAAGTTGGCAGTAAAAAGGCAACAAGCGCAGGATACAGACTCAGTGTTGTCCCCGGAGTTGTCTCCATTCTGTCTGAAGACAGGCAGCATACGTCGAAGCAGCAGCAGAAGGAGAAGATCGCACAGGACGTTGTCGGAGGAAACAGCAGAGGAAGCTGCTGAAGAGAAGTTTGACCCACTGGATGAACCAATGGTACATAACCCAACATTCACACTGTCCGCCCAGTCTTTGATGTTCTTATGAAAAGCCACAGGAGCTAATGTGTCCTCTGTGTCTCTGTAGCCTCCTCTGTCTCCCCTCCCGGTCCACCCTCTGCTGGCCACGCTCTCCTCTCACCCCCTGAGCACCAGGAGAGGAAGCCAGGTCAGCATCTTCAGTGCTTTCCGGGCACGGAACAACTCAGAGGCTGATTTTGGGGACGACGAGTTCAGCTTTCATGGGGACGCCATCAGGAGTCGCACCAGTTCCACAGCAACGCCCTGGAAGAGGAGGACAGGCAGTGTACGGAGCCACTGCTCCCAAATCTTCACCCCCAGCCTCAACGTCAATGGCAGACTTAACATCTCCCTGGACCACAATGGAGTCACCACTCTGGGCCTGCACACTCCCACCTCCATGCCTGCCTACAGCATGGAGAGGATCAGGGAAGACGCTGTGAGTGATGGGTGTGATCAAAGAATCCTTTAACAGTGAAGCAGGTCTCAATTCGTTGCTAAAAGGGGAGCAAAATCATGTATTTCTTTTTTGGGTGTATCTTTGTCTACCAGAAGCCCACCGCTGAAGAGGAGACAGCACCCAGACATCTCCTCCAGCCTTCCCCGACGGTGACTGAGCCTCCTCCAGTGCAAAGGAAAAGAGGGCTGAGCTCTGTCAGCTTCCTCAGCGATGCCATGGGTGGTGAGTCCTTTTAGATATTAAAGAAATAGTTTGATTTTTTGGAAAATACACTTATTTGCTTTTTTGCTGAGAGTTAGATGAGAAGATCCAGTGTCACATTTTGGCAGCTATTTTTGATGTAGTGTTAGTTTTTAGACAACATGCTGGTCATTGTAGTCATTCTTATGCCTCGTAGTTTGAGCCCAAAAAGTCATTATATTTGAGTCAAAATATTTTCTCTTTGTAAATTTATTAGTGCTAACAGGTGACGTTGCTCTGGTGTGAGAAACATCCTGGCGCAGACTATTCACTGGCCTTTACCAGCCACTTGGAGCACTGATCTCATACCACTCATACGGCATTAGAAAATAATTGCAAGCACTGCCGTTCTCAGCTTCCTAGTTTAAAACATTTTCTAATGTTTCATGAAATAATTTTTCACTCAGTTTTCTTGTCTCATTGTGAATGTCTGATAGCCCACCACTAACATTTGTTACATCTTGTCTCATCAATGAAAACAAAATATACATTTTGCCAAAGTTTTTATCATCAAAGATCTATTTTGTGCTTGTCAGTGTCCCTTTCGGAAAAAAAAAAAAGGCTGTTGACAAACATTTTTTGTCATAGTTTTTGTTAACAAAAGTCACACTGAGGAGGTCAATACTGTTCTTTGTCTGTACGATTTATATGAAGCTCTTACCAGACAACAAAACTGGGAACGGCTAGCCTGGCTCTGTCTAAAGGCATTAAATCAACCTCTTAAGTTAAATAAATCTTTTAAATTCTGTTTAATTGTTTGGAGTCTAAAATCAACACATTGTGGTTTTTACAAGGGGTTGTGTGCTAGACTATTTCTTGGTTGGCTTAATTTACTTCCTGGAGTCTTGCCGTCACCATAAACCCTTGTAAAAGTACAACTTGTCATTTTTTACACTGCCGTTTTTGTACTGTTTTTTAAGAAAAATGACTTAATGTGTGAACTTTAGGCGGTAGGTGGATTTTGTTACCTTTGGACGGGGTCACGCCAGCTGTTTGCCTCTGTTTCTAGTCTAATGCTAAGCTAAGCTAACCAGCTGCTGAGTGCAGTGTCATATTTACCTTAAAAACAATGTTACCTTTCTTCATGGATTTTTTTTTTAAACTGTAAATTGTATTTATTTATTTATTTATTTATTTATTTATTTATTTATTATTAATTAATTAATATTTACTTAGAATTTTGTATTATTATTATTATTATTATTATTGTTATTATTATTATTATTATTATTGTTATTATTATTATTATTATTTATATATATTTATATTAAATATTTCTATATTAATTTTATTTTATTTTTTTATTTTATTAAATCTTTTTTACTCAAGTTTTATCATCACTATTACCAAGGCTGTATTTATTTTATTTTTATCTATTATTTTGTCTATTATTTCTGTATCTATTTATTATCATTATAATACTTGTTATTAATGTTGTTGTTATTATTATTATTATTATTATTATTATTCTTCTTCTTCTTCTTATTATTATTATTATTATTATTATTTTATTTATTAATTAAATTATTTATATAATTCATTTAAGTATTTTTTTTTACTTAATTTCTATCATCCTTATTACTATCTTTCCAACTCTCCAGGTATAGAGGTATTTACCTATGTATATTTTCTTGTCCAGAAATGAGCATTGAAACTTAAACACTGAACTACTGATTCATGTATGCCCTGAAAATTGAAATAAACAAAACTTCAAAAAAAAAAAAAAAAAAAAAAAAAACAGGAAAAAAAATCCTTACAGACACAGGAGTGGTATCGATCTTCTCAACCAACTCTCAGCCGGAAAGCAAATGAGTGAATTTTCCAAAATGACGAATTATTTCTTTAAAGATAATGCCCTTATCTTTAGAGACCTATGACAGATTGAAGCATCACACTCTGAGTTGTACATGCTGAGTCTTTCAGGTTGTGTCCACAAGTGTTAGAAAAAGGAAAAGCAAGCACAGGTTTGATTTTAAGAAGAGGCCTGCACATAAATAGTTCACCTTGATGTCTCCTTACAGAGCTGGAGGTGTCGAGGCAGAAGTGTCATCCCTGCTGGTACACATTAGCCAAGAAGTACCTGATATGGGACTGCTGCCCCTGGTGGCTGAAGATGAAGGAGTGGGTGAAGTTAATGGTGATGGATCCTTTCCTGGATCTGGGTATCACCATATGCATTGTGCTGAACACCCTCTTCATGGCCCTGGAGCACTACCCCATGACTGACGAGTTCAACACCATGCTTTCAGTGGGCAATCTGGTAAGGGGCTTTCAGTGATTCGGGTGGGCAGGTTTCCAACATTTAAGACACTTTAACCTGAGTGCTGTTGGGTCAGCAGTGGAGAGGACTGAAAGCTTCTCTGAGAAGACAGTAAAGAGGAAAGCATTCATTCAGATAATGTATTTCTATATCAGACAGCTGAGTTTTTTATAGCCGCTGCTGTGCTGGGCTTAAGGTCAAACAGGGCCGTGTTGATCCATTGTCAAAGGTTTTGCTTTAGACTATTTGCGATTATCCTTGGTAAGAGGGAGTATTTTTAGCAGGAGGGGGGACTGATTCCCTCATTTGTATTTTGCCATCTCCCTCTACTGGTAAATTCTAGACTCTGCTGGTGACTTCAGGTTTAAAACCCTACTTTAAAAAAGAAAAATGGAAGTAATACTTGATATTTTCTCTTGAACTACATGGACATTTGGGTCCTAAAACAGTCACAGTGCAGAAGTAGCCACTCTAGTGTTTTCTAGTTTTTCATTTTGACCTTTACCGTAACTTTTTTGTTATGGTTTTCTGTCTCATATATGATGCTACAATATCAGATGTTCATGTTAAATGTGGCCTCAGGCTTTAGAACATTCTGAATACTCTGCTTCCAACAAACTGACGTCAGCTTGTGAAGGAATTCTTTATATGGTTACCGGCTCTGGGCACGGTACTGCCAGTGATTACATTACATACACTGCTACATGTAGCCACATGTTAATGTCAGGGAATAATCTTGGTTGAGGATGTTGATCATTTCTTCTTTCTTTTTTGTTTAGAAGATTTTATGCGTGATTTTTAAAGGGAGAAAGTGCTCCTCGAGTCAGTCATTCCCCAGCTGCAAGGACACTGCTACATGTAGCTACATGCTAACATCAGGGAAACATGTAATCTTGGCTGCCGATGTTGATAATTTCTCCCTGATTTTGTATCATATTCCTACTGGAACATGTCTTGTGGTATTTAGAATACTATATTGGTGATTTTTGACAGGAGAAAGTGCTGATATGAGCGGTCATTCACTCAAGGTTAGTCAAGGACACTGCTACATACATGCTTATGTCAAGGAAACAATCTTCTTTGCTGAATTTGTTTATTTCTCCCTGATTTTGGATCATAGTTCTACTGGAACATGTCCAGTTGTGTTTAGAAGCTTTTTTTTTTTTTTTTTAAAGATTATTTTTTGGGCTTTTGCATTTCATGTACAGGACAGAGTGAAATGGGGAGAGAGAGAGAGCGGGGGGTGACCTGCAGCAAATGGTTGCAAGCCGGAGTCGAACCTGCGACCGCTGCAGCGAGGCGTTGTCTCTGTACATGGGGCGCCGGCACTATCCACTACGCTACCGATGCCCCAAATTGTTTAGAAGCTTTTATGTGCAATTTCTTTATTGGAGAAAATGCCACTATACTCAGTCATTTCCCAGCTGCAACTTAACAGCTACATGTAGCTACATGCTTACATCAGGGATACATGGAATCTTGGTTGCCGATGTTGTAAATTTCTCCCTGATTTCAGATCAGATTCCTGATGGAACATGTATTGTGGTGTTTAGAATAGTATCTTGGTGATTTTTTAACAGGATAAAGTGCCCCTATGGTGATTTGTCTAGTTTGTTGTCAAGATGTTAAAGCCACTCTGTGGGTGTGCTCTGCAATAGAAAAGTGTTTGTGTTCAAGCACAATGTTGCACGCAATGGGAAACAGCATACCCTTACTTTCATGCAGAATTTGAGAGAATCGCCTTGCATGGTCTTTAGCAGTAACTTATGTTGGTATACGTGAGACATTCGTGTCACAGGTCTGCATCTTCACAACCAGACACAAGGAAGGGAGTTTGATGATGTTGATCGGTGAAACTCAAGGGAAACTACAATGTTTTGTGGTGCAGAGAAAATTGCAAGGTCCTGCTGCTGAAAACAAGGTTGATAAGAGCGGTGAGACTGAACCAAACAGTACTGTATATTTCTGGGCCATAAAATCAAAACAATGAGCTAAAAGACACTAAAATGCACATGGAGGGGAACTGCAGAGTTGGGTGTTGATAATTCTGTGGGTCACTACAAGCAACATATTCCACATTCCCCATAGTCCTTATCCATTGTTACAAATATGAGTAAGTGCAACAAGAAAAGCTTTTGTTACTTTTCCACCGGTTACTCTTTTTATGTCCCTTTGTGTCCGCTATAGGTTTTCACAGGGATCTTTACAGCTGAGATGGTGCTGAAGCTGATTGCCATGGACCCCTACTACTACTTCCAACAGGGCTGGAATATCTTTGATGGCGTCATTGTTTGCCTCAGTCTGATGGAGTTGGGTCTGTCTAATGTGGAGGGGCTGTCTGTCCTGCGATCTTTCAGACTGGTAAAACTCTCACTCGTACATTTTTTTAAAAAATGTGCCTTTTCATTATAACGTTTTGGCATTGTTTGCCTTTTTATTCTACCCTGGAAATCCAGAGTTCTCGCGAGAGCACAATTTGAATTTGCTCAGCGAGTCACTCTGGCAATCAGTAATGATGCTCATTACTAGGGATGCACCGAAATGAAAATTTGTGGCCAAAGCCGAATAAAATTAAATACCAAATACTGAATACCGTTGTTTAGTTTTTCATTAGTTTTTGCAGATGAACCCCCTCCAGATTAGTGTTGTCACGGTACCAAAATTGGGACCCACGGTACAATACCAGTGAAAATATCATGGTTCTGAGTAGTATCAGGATACCACAGCGAAAATGAGGCAGATGTGCCTTTTGTCATTTATAAAAAGATAAATCACTTTTCTATAATACATCAATGATATTTCAATGGAATAAATTACTTATTGACTTATTCATACTTCAAAAACAGCATCAATAAGTGATTAACATAGCGGGGATCAAAATAAAATAAATAAATAAATAAAATAAAAACCAACCAGCCACCCTCCTCCCCTGACAAGTAAAGGACAGTCCCTTCATAAGTAAAGAACAGTCCCTAAAGTGCGGTGAGGTTTGTGGACCGTTACCTGACACAAAGAGAGAAATGTGAACGGCTCGTTTCTCCTCTGACACATCACATACCTGTGTGCTGCCACGGCTCGGCTGTCCAGGTACTTTTGGGCGGTCATGATGCCAAGAAGAGGATATTATTGGAGCCAGACTTCTCTGTCGCCGGTAAGCCTATGGCCGCTGTATTTGACAGGAATACATTCCTGTCTGTGTCTGTGACCCCTGTTCAACCCACAACCAGCGGGATTCGCCTTTTGTTTCTGCTGCTGGTTGAAATCTGTACTCGCACAGCGTGCTGAATGATTTATTTTGCTCGAACAAAACTATTTTTAGTCGCAAATGCGAGTGCAGTGACGGACGGAGTAAAATATCGCCACGCTGCCGACATTTTACTCCGTCCGTCACCGCACGCTGTTTGATTGCATTAACACACGCTGCTATTATTCGGCCTTGCTTTTCACTTATTCCACCAAATACTGAATGTGTGTTTTTTTGCAATATTCGGCCGAATATATTCAGTTACCGAATATTCGGTGCATCCCTACTCATTACCTATGCCCATGAAACCGAGCTGCACCAATCACATCGGTGTATCTGATATAGGCGGGCCAGAGGTGAGCTAAACAAATGACAACAGCGCTGCAACGATGAAGTCCAGAATCAGTCAGTAAACATTGCAAGATGGCTACGGATGAACACTAGTTGTTTGAAACGGTTTTGGCCGCTACAATGAACGAGTTAGACTTGGCTTTTTCTCTAAAAGAGGAACAGAAGACGGCACTCGAATCTTTCCTTTGCAAGAAGGACGTTTTTGCTGTTTTGCTGACCGGATATGGCAAGAGTCTAATCTACCAGTTAGCTCCGCTGGTAGCTAAGCGTATACGTCACCCTGTGTATTGTTCTGATTGGTCGTAGTGTTATCCAGTTGCGTGCAGTGATATTTACAAATGCATGCTTGGTGCCGCCCCTCGAGTTGGGCCATTTTCATTACTCATGGAATAAAAATAGCCTGGAAATCCAGACCCAAATCTAGAAAGATTTAGGGTCTGGATTTCCAGGCTATTTTTATTCCTTCTAAACATCTTATAATCCATCATCAAATTTAAAGTAACAGTGTGGAAGAATTAGGGGGATTTAGCGGCGTCTAGCGGTGAGGATTGCAGATTACAACCAGCTGAAACTTTGCCTGGTTAGAATTCATTCAGTGTTCATTGTTCAGGAGGTTTTTACTGTGAGCCAAAATATCCACAGAGATCTCTTCCTCTCCAAAACAAACAGCCCAGGTGATTAAAACAGGTAAAAACACTGAATGAAGCAGTTTCACATTACAAATCAGTGTTTTTCTGATGCTGTTAAGCACATCGGTGACGGGCAGCTTTCTCACCACACGCACAATCCTTTTATAAATTCCCCCAACAGTTTTTTTGGTAAAGATTCAGGATCATTTGTTCTCTTCCTCAGTTACGAGTCTTCAAGCTGGCAAAGTCCTGGCCCACTCTCAACACTCTCATCAAGATCATCGGCAACTCGGTGGGCGCCCTGGGAAACCTGACGCTGGTGTTGGCCATCATCGTCTTCATCTTCGCTGTGGTGGGCATGCAGCTGTTTGGCAAAAACTACCAGGACTGTGTGTGTAAGATCTCCATCGACTGTCAGCTGCCTCGCTGGCACATGAAGGACTTCTTCCACTCCTTCCTTATTGTGTTCCGCGTGCTGTGCGGCGAGTGGATCGAGACCATGTGGGATTGTATGGAAGTGGCCGGGCAGCCCCTCTGCATCCTGGTGTTCATGTTGGTCATGGTCATAGGAAACCTGGTGGTGAGTATTATATTGGATTAAATTAGTATTAAACAGTTGCCAGTGGTGTGTGTGTTCATGCGTGTACACCTTATAACTAGTAACCAGCGTGCGTTAGGGCCTGTCACAATAATGTGCCCTGGGGCTCATCGTAACTACCTTACACCACTGCTCTGTGCACATCCCATAACTAAAATCTACAATGAATTGTGAAGATTTATCATTATTATGTAAAATATCTCAATAATCCCAAGAAGGTAATCTATAAAATATATATTCACAAAAATAAATCTTACTTTACATTAACAGGTACTGACTCTGAAGCCAATCCTCTGTGTCAGAGACGTCCATTATTGTAAAGAAACATCAGGGAGCTACACCGTTGCACTGAGTGATCCCAGTGATGGCAGTATCAGCAGCAGCCTCAATCGAACCAGTTTATATTGCCTGATTCTGTGGTTTGAGTCTCAGCCGATTCAGGCAACCAGATGTGGTCCGACTTATTTCTTCCAGCATGCCGATGCTGGGCCAGGTCATTTCGGCTACATCTGATATGTTCCTTCATTAGGCCCCGATCACACAGAAACATGCGCTGCACTGCCACTAGCGGGGGGAAAAAAAACGCTTGCTGCACCTTTTCATTGTTGCCAGGCAACCACGGACTCAACTCCTTAATCTAACCAACTAATGTAATCAAGCTACAGTTTATTTATTTTAGTTGTTTGACAGTAATCAGTATCTAGTTCCTAAAATGTTGAGGCAGAGGGAACTTGCTGTAGCTCTGGTTGAGGGTGAGAGGCTGTCAGTAAATAGTTTGTTGGGCACAGGGAAACAGAGATCTGTGTGGGTACATGAGACCCTAAAAAAGAGGGTGGATCATGGGAGTTGGTCCAGAAGCTTCGCCTCCATAATGGCCATTTCCAGGCATATTTTAGGACGACTTGGGGCAGTTTGACAACCTGCTGTCTATTGCTGGGCCGTATATCTCTGTGTATCCAGCAACAGCTACCACTAGTTTCTCCCTCATAGTTTACCAACTGTAAACTTGTTGTCGTGACCACCACAGAAGACCTGCCGCCTCTCACATCATCTGATTGGACAATGGGAAAAAAAAGATCATGAAAAAGAGATGACGTGGGGCGCTTTTCTGCTTTGAGTTGAAGTTTTCTCAACTCGAGGAGTTCAGAGCACTCCAGCAAAACACCAGGCGCTTAGTGCAAAAAAACGCAAGCAAAAAGCTTCATTCTCATTAAAAACAACTTCAAAAAGTTGCTTCCAGCTGCTAAAACACGTTCTGTGTGATCAGGGCATTAGGATCAACATGGGCACTGTTGCTTATCTTGAGTCAGTACTAAGAAAAATACTTCCAAGCACTCAGAATCTGCAGCTGAAAATGTGCCACATTTTTTTCTCCGATGCCTTTACAGTGAACCGAGAATCCAAAAACTGAGTGAAGTCTTGATGAATTAAAGTCATAGGGGTCTGTGTTTAACAACAACAAAACTATATCAAAACATTAATATACAAACTCTCACACAACTCATGAAGTTTAATCCAGGTCTAATTTATCCAGTCGTGTGTCAGTACTTCCCAAACAGCCAGTCCTTTTTGACTGGGAACAAAACAGGAAGTAAAACTTATCTATGCTCACTTCAATGCCAAACTCCATTGACAAAAACTGTGATTTTACCTCGTTGAACACAGGATCTGTTGGTCTACCACTGCCTTGATTGGTAGTTTGTTTGTGTTATTGTGTGTGACTTTGCTGTTATAAAGCGTTAGATCAGATTGACCAAAGTCAAACAATAAGACAAACTAACTAATCTAGGCAGGTGTAGACCAGCAGCTCCCATGTTCAGTGAGGTAAAATTTCTGTTTTTGTCAGTGGAGTCTGGCTTTAAAGAGAGCGTAGTAAAGTTTGACTTTCTCTTCAGTTTCCTAGCTGTCTGTTTAGAAAGTACTGAGCACACAACTGCATAAATGAGACTTGGATTAAACTGTACGACTTGTGCAAGAGTTTGTCATCGGATGTTTTGACATAGTTTTGCTGTTGTTAAACACGGACTCTTATGACTTCAATTCATCAAGACTCTTTTCCGTTTTTGGATTCTTTGTTCACCGTGGAGGCATGCATGAAAAACTTCTTCATGAATTCAGTGTAACACAGGGTGAGTAACTGATGTACAAATGATCATTTTGCGGGTTGAAGTGTTCCTTTTAAACAGTAAATGATAACAGGAAGTGCTTACAGAGAAATTCAATTGCACGCCACTGCAAACAACTGTAATCCAAATGATGATGTCATGAGTAATCAGGGATTACGTTGCACCAGTGAGGGTTGGTGATTTCCATATTATGAAGACGGGACATCCTCGTACAGTTGTTGGTGCCTTGTCCTGATATCTTTTGCAAACTCAGATATCTGTGTAGCCTCAACAGTTTGTGCATATTTTCGTCAGCGCTCTTGAACGCACGCCGGTCACTGAGAATGCGGTTGTGTCACAGCATCATGCTAACTGTCTTGCAGATTAGCATTAGCAGACTTCAAAGCAGATCATGTCTGGACGACATAGTATAAACCATCTGTTCTCCCTCCTAAGCAAGATATGTATTATCTGCACATGCTGTCGTGCAAACTGTAGCCTCAACAGACACACTCTCCACTAGGAGCGGCTTTATCACAGTCTCATGTCCAACAGGACTGAATGTTTTATCCACAGCTAATGAATTAAGCCTTATGGGTGAAATTGTGACCTAAGTACTGTACAAAGGATCAGCCAAGGCCACAGAGTGTTCTCGGTGTCATTCCAGCCTTTGCAGCAGGTATTGAGTGTCACACAGGATGAATCGCAGCGTGTACATTATCACATGCAGCTGTTTCTGTGAAAATAATAATCTGTACAATGGCTCTGTTTGTACACAACTCCTGTCGCTCTGTGCCACAGCAAGGATATGTACATTTGTTGGTCCATCCATATGGTGATGTGTTGTCCAGCTGTGTCCTGTAAGCTAACGTTAATGAGAATGGATAAAAAACAAAACCCAGAAGCACAGGCGGCAGTCGCAGCATTTATTTATGGTCAGATTTACTCTGAATGTAGTGTCATTGTAGTGCTGATTCTTGGAATATCTAAATCACACATTGCAGTGTTGTAGTCTGTTTCTGTGATTTTATATATGTACAGTACAGGCCAAAAGTTTGGACACACCTTCTCATTCAATGCGTTTTCTTTATTTTCATGACTATTTACATTGTAGATTCTCACTGAAGGCATCAAAACTATGAATGAACACATGTGAAGTTATGTACTTAACAAAAAAAGGTGAAATAACTGAAAACATGTTTTATATTCTAGTTTCTTCAAAATAGCCACCCTTTGCTCTGATTACTGCTTTGCACACTCTTGGCATTCTCTCCATGAGCTTCAAGAGGTAGTCACCTGAAATGGTTTTCCAACAGTCTTGAAGGAGTTCCCAGAGGTGTTTAGCACTTGTTGGCCCCTTTGCCTTCACTCTGTGGTCCAGCTCACCCCAAACCATCTCGATTGGGTTCAGGTCCAGTGACTGTGGAGGCCAGGTCATCTGCCACAGCACTCCATCACTCTCCTTCTTGGTCAAATAGCCCTTACACAGCCTGGAGGTGTGTTTGGGGTCATTGTCCTGTTGAAAAATAAATGATCGTCCAACTAAACGCAAACCGGATGGGATGGCATGTCGCTGCAGGATGCTGTGGTAGCCATGCTGGTTCAGTGTGCCTTCAATTTTGAATAAATCCCCAACAGTGTCACCAGCAAAACACCCCCACACCATCACACCTCCTCCTCCATGCTTCACAGTGGGAACCAGGCATGTGGAATCCATCCGTTCACCTTTTCTGCGTCTCACAAAGACACGGCGGTTGGAACCAAAGATCTCAAATTTGGACTCATCAGACCAAAGCACAGATTTCCACTGGTCTAATGTCCATTCCTTGTGTTTCTTGGCCCAAACAAATCTCTTCTGCTTGTTGCCTCTCCTTAGCAGTGGTTTCCTAGCAGCTATTTGACCATGAAGGCCTGATTGGCGCAGTCTCCTCTTAACAGTTGTTCTAGAGATGGGTCTGCTGCTAGAACTCTGTGTGGCATTCATCTGGTCTCTGATCTGAGCTGCTGTTAACTTGCGATTTCTGAGGTTGGTGACTCGGATGAACTTATCCTCAGAAGCAGAGGTGACTCTTGGTCTTCCTTCCTGGGTCGGTCCTCATGTGTGCCAGTTTCGTTGTAGCGCTTGATGGTTTTTGCGACTCCACTTGGGGACACATTTAAAGTTTTTGCAGTTTTCCGGACTGACTGACCTTCATTTCTTAAAGTAATGATGGCCACTCGTTTTTCTTTAGTTAGCTGATTGGTTCTTGCCATAATATGAATTTTAACAGTTGTCCAATAGGGCTGTCGGCTGTGTATTAACCTGACTTCTGCACAACACAACTGATGGTCCCAACCCCATTGATAAAGCAAGAAATTCCATTAATTAACCCTGATAAGGCACACCTGTGAAGTGGAAACCATTTCAGGTAACTACCTCTTGAAGCTCATGGAGAGAATGCCAAGAGTGTGCAAAGCAGTAATCAGAAGAAAGGGTGGCTATTTTGAAGAAACTAGAATATAAAACATGTTTTCAGTTATTTCACCTTTTTTGTTAAGTACATAACTTCACATGTGTTCATTCATAGTTTTGATGCCTTCAGTGAGAATCTACAATGTAAATAGTCATGAAAATAAAGAAAACGCATTGAATGAGAAGGTGTGTCCAAACTTTTGGCCTGTACTGTATATATTGTACATGTATGTATTTTTAGTATTCAGTTGATTCACTGTATTCAACCAGGAGTGTCCCATTGAGATTAAGAACCTCTTTTTTTTATCACTTAGACAACTGATTGCTGAAGTCGTGGAAATCCTTCGCCTGGGCAGTGATTTGCGGTGTCAGAAACCAATGAAAAAAGGTGTCCTTTAACGTGAACATGACACATGGCTGGTTGC